AATCGCTGCCAAAACCCTTCCTAAGCACTTGCTAAGCATCGCTCCACCGATGGCTCTAGCTCACTCCAAAGTCCCAGCCCTGGATAAAGGCAGAGGTCCTTGCTCCCAAGATGGGCGATCTATGCCATGGTGGCTGGTTGTCAGTCCAGAAAGTAACTAGCTTAACTCCTTACCTACATACCACCAAATCTCTACAAGAGCCCATGTAGGGGCGACAGGTAGGTGAGAAGCAGGTGAGGTCAGGCATCTCGGATCATTGGTGGTTGGGTCTATTTCTCAGATCATCTTTTTTCTTCCGCCATTCCTCTTGCTTCTCCTGTACTATCTCAAACATTTGCCAGAACTACGCTTCCATTGGATTGATCGAATCGAGCAGAGCTAGAGTTCGTAGCTATCCCGAGTGCTTAAGAAAATCAATCAGTTATAAGCAACATGCCTGTAGAAATTCAGTTTGATGATCTATTTACAACATGACTCTACACGAGTATACTCAAGAAAAAGGAAAAGACACAATGTCATCGGAATTGTGCGTAGTCCTCACTGCTAGTACAGCCGTTTCGTTGGAACAAAAGGCCGATCATAATATGTCATTCCATTCTCAATAATTGATTCAACAAATGAAATATCCAGTCTTGGAGAGGGGGACATCCCACACCCCCTTGTGTTAAGATGGCATTCTGGGTTGGAGAGTGAAGCCCAGTGAATGCATGGTTAATTTGTTAATTGGTGTAATAAACATGACATTGTCGGCTTTAACCATGCCTTTTCTTTTTTGGTTGCGAGATCCCCCAACCCATTGTGTTGAACACTAGCATCCTCGGTTGGACAGTAATGCGCCTCAATAAAAAAGAAACAAGTGTGGAAACGGCCCAAATGCACGAGAAAGAGTCGGGTAGGTTATGTTTTAGACATGATCGATGTGCACCCTGTTTTGCCTATGGTTTTCGTTTAGTGGAAGACCGGCTCTGCCCGCGCTCGATGCGTAGGGACAGTACAAGGATATACCCCAACTACGTAGACTGGCAATTGGATTAATATTTGACATTTTTCGGCCAAAAAGATCTGATGTTTGACACGAGCTTGAAGCCTTGGTCGGGTCCAAGTCTAACCACAAAGTTAAGGCAGGCGACGTTCTGCTGGCGCTGCTCCTGCCAATTTCGCGGCGCAGGACGAATAGTAGCAGCGCACATGGACCGGGCCCGAGGCTGACCGGACCCTCTCCTTCCTCCCTTGACCTTTCCTTTTGGGAACGCGCGGCAATGGCAAGCAAACGCACCACCGCGCGGCCTTCGCCTTGCCCCCCTGCCCAAGAACTTCCATGTTTGCGCCCCTCGCCCGCGTATATATACCCCGGGTGCCGCCCCCGCCATAGCACACAACAACAGAGTCGAGTCATCGCATCCTATTGCGCCTGATAATCAACAGCTTAGCTAGAGCCGAGAGCGAGCAGCAGCAGCCATGGTGCTCTCCAGGGCCGCCTCCGACACCGACGTGTCGGTGCACTCCACCTTCGCCTCCCGCTATGTCCGCTCGTCCCTCCCGAGGTATGTATGCGCCTGCGTGCCTGTTGTTCTTCCTGTTCGTCGTCGTCTAATGGCTTCGATGTTCTTCGAGGAGTGATTGACCGGCTGGTGGATCTGGTGGTTGGCGCGTGCGTGCAGGTACCGGATGCCGGAGAACTCGATCCCCAAGGAGGCGGCGTACCAGATCATCAACGATGAGCTGATGCTGGACGGCAACCCGCGGCTGAACCTGGCGTCCTTCGTCACCACGTGGATGGAGCCCGAGTGCGACAAGCTCATCATGGCCTCCATGAACAAGAACTACGTCGACATGGACGAGTACCCGGTCACCACCGAGTTCCAGGTAACTGCCAGTCTCTGCTTCGAAGCTCTTGTTTCCACGCCGCCGACGCGCGTGCAGAGAATTGCTCTTATTCTCCTCGTGCGGCGTTGCATTGCAGAACCGGTGCGTGAACATGATCGCGCATCTCTTCCACGCGCCGCTGGGCGAGTCGGAGACGGCCGTGGGCGTGGGCACGGTGGGGTCGTCGGAGGCCATCATGCTGGCCGGGCTGGCCTTCAAGCGGAGGTGGCAGAACAAGCGCAGGGCCGAGGGCAAGCCCTTCGACAAGCCCAACATCATCACCGGCGCCAACGTCCAGGTTACTTATCAACCCTCTGCCTCGCGATCCATGGAAGAATTGAGAGCCAAGAAACCCATCCAAACATTTAAATTGATGCAGGTGTGCTGGGAGAAGTTCGCTCGGTACTTTGAGGTGGAGCTCAAGGAGGTGAAGCTGCGGGAGGGGTACTACGTCATGGACCCGGAGCAGGCGGTGGAGATGGTGGACGAGAACACCATCTGCGTCGCCGCCATCCTCGGCTCCACGCTCAACGGCGAGTTCGAGGACGTCAAGCGCATCAACGACCTGCTGGAGGAGAAGAACAAGCGGACCGGGTAAGCAATGCGTACAAGAGCAGAGCAGCCGCCGGAACAAGAAACAGAGTCGTCGCTCGTGGTGTGCTGAGTGTAGTTTTCGCAGGTGGGAGACGCCGATCCATGTGGACGCGGCGAGCGGCGGCTTCATCGCGCCGTTCCTGTACCCGGAGCTGGAGTGGGACTTCCGGCTGCCGTGGGTCAAGAGCATCAACGTGAGCGGCCACAAGTACGGCCTCGTCTACCCCGGCATCGGCTGGTGCGTGTGGCGCACCAAGGAGGACCTCCCCGACGAGCTCATCTTCCACATCAACTACCTCGGCTCCGACCAGCCCACCTTCACCCTCAACTTCTCCAAGGGCTCCAGCCAGGTTATCGGCCAGTACTACCAGCTCATCCGCCACGGCATCGAGGTAACTTCTTTGCCGATCTTCGTCCGTTCAAGCATCGAATTCCTTCCTTTGGTGAGCGAGCTCACGCGACGGAATGGCAATGGCGATGGCGCAGGGGTACACGAAGATCATGGAGAACTGCCAGGAGAACGCCATGGTGGTGAAGGAGGGCCTGGAGAAGACGGGGCGCTTCAGCATCGTGTCCAAGGACGAGGGCGTGCCGCTGGTGGCCTTCTCGCTCAAGGACCGCAGCCGGCACGACGAGTTCGAGATCTCCGACATGCTGCGCCGCTTCGGCTGGATCGTGCCGGCCTACACCATGCCGGCGGACGCGCAGCACGTGACCGTGCTCCGCGTCGTCATCCGGGAGGAGTTCAGCCGCACCCTCGCCGAGCGCCTCGTGCTCGACATCGACACCGTCATGGCCCAGCTCGACGCGCTGCCCTCCAAGCTCGCGCCCCCGGCGCTGCTGCCGGCCGCGCTGCCCAAGACCGTCGTCGTCGCCAACGGCCACGTCAAGAAGACGGAGCTCGAGACGCAGAAGTCGGTCACGGAGGCCTGGAAGAAGTTTGTGCTCGCCAAGAAGACCAACGGCGTCTGCTAGTCCCCAGATTAAGAGTCTCCAAAACCCAAATCATGCTCAGATCGTGAAGCTACCGATCTTACTTATTCGAGTGAAACTATATTATAGGTTGATTTAGGCCGAGTTTGTAACCAAAATTTTGCTGTGGCTTTTATGACTTGCGCAATTGCGCTGCAGTGATGGTACTATTTTTCTGTCAAATGGTTCTGCAAATTTATTTATTTTAGCTTCTGCAAATTTAATCTCTGAATAACAAAGGAATTGGATCGATAGTTATGGTGTTTTGTCTCTTGTTTTCCACAACAGAGAATTAACAAGATCGTTGCATGTAGCTTCTTCATCTAATCACTTTTCTTTTTTCCTTTTCTCTATTTCCTCCAAAAGTAATCAGGAGGATTCTAATCTTTTGGAAATTCTGAGACTCAAGAAATGTGCCGGTCTTCCGTGAAGCTTCTGAAAAAAAGTTTCCGCTATGTGGCGGCAAATGCTTGCTGTGAGTAAGATGGGGATGTTCTGCGCCTGGTTAAAAAAAAACATTTCAACCACAACACTAGTGGCTCGGCTTTTTAGACCCGATGTCACAAGAATTAGCTAACCCTAATACAAAATGGACTAGTTGATCCATTGTTTTAAGCATTTTTTTTACCTTTTTCGCTATTTGCCGGTGTTATTTTTTATGCTTGTGCGCTCTTCTTTTTGTACCATCGATCACCGCCGTACACCATTGTTATTTTGCTTTCCAGTCTGGTGTGGAACAATTTGTTGTCGCTTCTCATACCTTTTGGGTTCTTTGTCGGTATTTTATTTCTTTGTTTTACATTGATTTTGTTTCAGGTTGTTTATCTATATTTTTCATAACCATTGTACATTTTTGTATAAACATTTATCAAATACAAGTTACATTTTAGCAAAATATTTGTTTTCATGCTTACTTTTTTTTACATTCTACATTTTTTGTATACATAAGACATTTTTATATACATTTAACACACATGATTTCACATTTTTTGAATAGGTGTTAAACATTTCTCAAATACATCTGGAAATATTTTTTGAATGATAAGACACATTTTTTCCTAAACTATGAAAACATTTTTTTCTAAACTATGAAAACATTTTTTTACTTTTGTTTATACATTTTTTTAAAGAGTCAATTACATCGCAGGTGTCTGAACTTGGCAAAAAAAGTCAGTTTGATACTAAAAATTTGCGGGATACATTGAACCAGTGATAAAACTTGGCTCGTGCGTGCATGTACGGTGCTAATCACGTCTATATACGTACATGATACTGACGTGGCACGCCAACATGGCGCGCGGGCCACCCGTAAGTGAATGGGGACGGGGCGAAGGAGTGCGGCCTGGTTTTTTTTTCAGAAAGCACCTTGAATTTTTTTGTCATGAAAAAGGCCCTTATTTTTTTTCTTTTCTATAAAAAGCTCAGAAACATAACTTTGTCTCTATGACCCTTGGGGCCCACTCGTCAGGAAACAATATAAAGAGGAGATTAATATGAAACTAGTAAGATGCCCGTGCTACGCTACGGGGTAAGAAATGATCAATAGAACATTTGTTTACTTATTAAGTTATAATTAAGATACCCGTGCGTCGCCACGGAACAAATTTTTTTCACTTTACTCGACATTTATCAAAGTGACCTTATATTGTTAATAGGCCCACAACCGATATACGGTTTCCAATCGATAACCCCTTGGTCCAAGACAAATATTTTCTCCTTCATTTTCACCTTGCAAGAAGACTTGGTATTCTTCCTACTCGGGTTTCTCAACGCTTACTTTATCCTAATATTGAGTGGTAGAGAGCATGAGGCAAATAGAAATCCATCCACACTCATTTGGTGATTATGATTATGCTCGACCAACTTTATTTCCGACTCCAAATCAATCTATCTCTTCGGCTCCTCTTTTCTTAGCACGGGCTTCACCTGCAGTCTGCACCATTCTCCGCTAGAAAAGGGGACACATTAAACATCTCAATTATACTGCGTACCTAACTTTAGTATCAATAATGGAAGAACAACAATGCAGAAATATCAATAGTGGTCCCCGCAAATATGCGCAATGAAAGTACGGTGACTACTATCCTTCGGCTCAAGTCGATGGGCTCAACATGTTAGCACATTATCTCATTCCTCCACCTGCTCATGTCGAGTCATCTGATCATCTATGCTTGTCTATGAGGTATGAGCATTATATGATGCACCATGCCATCCATGGAAAAAATGTAATGCCAATGGTAAATCACGCATCCGAAAAATTGATGTTGTAACATTCTAAACCACTTTCATGATTTGAAAAAAAACACAAGTACCTTAAAGCATATAACACAACCTACAATACATGCAGTCCAGGCACACGACCCAGTCCCAAAAGTTGTGTCTTTCGCCTTAGCTCTAGAACCTGCTCCATGCAAGACAATGATGAATCCTCTCAACGCATTACAAGTTTACAACAGCACACGCATGGCGCATCCAGCAGCCGGACTCCTCCTCCCAATATTTGTTATTGTTGGCTTGCTCATGGCGTGCGCTGACATTTTTCCCTCAAAAGTAAAAAATAAACACGTACACACTCACGCCGTCACGCGAAGACACCAGAACCAGCTGAAAACTTGAAGAAAGGACCTCCAAACAAAGAAGAATAGAACCACATCCCTGAAGGCCCCAAAGAGAGCCAGCACGCCTCTGGCCGCCGCCACCGAGATGACCGTGGACGAATCCATTTGTGAGCAGGAGAAGCGCCTGGCAAGAATCTGGGTTGTGATACGGAACAGAAGTCAACATGAACGGAGGCACCAAACTGATGAAGGCCATCGATCGGGGAGGACACACCCTGCGCTCCACCGCCTCTGGATCTCCTCCGGCGAGAAGGGCCACCAGATCATCTGTCCAGCTAGCTACAAACTGGTCTCCAGAACAGCCGCCTCTGTAAGTCGCCGCAAACCAAATCTTAGGCGGCCATCACCGCCACATCACCTGTACAACTACTCACACACCCCGTCGGCAGCTCTAGCGCGTGAACCATCGAGGCGGGGACAGGGCTAGAGGAAAAAATACCAGAGTCGATGGTGTAACTGTCGCCTCAGCAGAACCGCCAGACCACACAGGCCCATAGGCTCCTCGCCATCGCCGGCGAGATGGGGTAGGAGCCAGGACCGCTTTATTGGACGCGACACGCCGCCACCATCCGAGCGCCGCCCAACCAACCCGTATCTACACGCAGGCGGAGTGCTGGAGCTCCCCCCACGCCTCAGGAGGTCAGACGGCCATCGGAGGCGAAGAGGAGCGACGAGATCATCGGCGGAAGAACTGAAGTCGCCTCCCGGTCGCTTCTTTTTCACCTTTATACTGTAGCAGGGGGAGGAGAGAATCACCCGGCTGAAGTGGGTTGCCTCATGTACGTTGGATGAAGATCTGATGGTCTAAACTGATGGATGGCAGGCACACCATCACCACCAACTGAGAATTTTATAGTAGTAGAGAAACTGTGTCCGCCATGGGTTGAACCAGCGACCTCAACCCAACAACACGGCAGACTAGCAATCACACCAAGTATTTATTATTCCTAAATTCTAAAAAGTGCATATGAACTAATTAGAGGAAACGAGCGGCCGGCCTTACACATGCATGCATGTAGTTTTGTGGTCTAAATTTTGTCTTTATTCGTGATGTGACATGTATTACTAGGATGGTCACATGGGTAAGACACGACATTATTCCATAGATGCACATGTCCATTTATTCGGGTTTTCAAAATTTTAAAAAGCCATATTTTTAAACCGTGCTTCGGAATTTAGATCCGTTTTCACTATTGGAATCCTCGCGACGAGATCTTTGAAACTAAATCCTGCATAGGTATGTTTTGACGAATTTTTTTGATGCCAACTTTGATGCTATATTGTGCAACTCTATTACTGTATTGTGCAACTTTATTACTATATCGTGTAACTTTTTTCCAAAACTAATGTTTGGAGCTGCACCTTTGTATGAGGTTGCAACCCAGCAATCATGACAACTTTGATGTGCAACTAGTCCATTGCCTCGACAAAAGTCGATGTGCAACCTTTTCTTGTAATGTAGTCTAAATGCACACATATTGATGTTTAGTTGGCTTGTAATGTAGTCTAGTTGCACACACATTGATTTTTAGTTGGCTTGTAATGTAGTCTAGTTGCACACATTGATATTTAGTTGGCAGGAAGACTAGTTGCACACACATATGCTCAGTTGACCTGTAATTTAGTCTAGTTACACACACATTAATGTTTAGTTGACAGAACACTAGTTGCACACACATATACTCAGTTGGCGCGGCAATCTAGTCTAGTTGCTCACACATTGATGTTTAGTTGATAGGACTTATTGGCACACACACATATGCTCAGTTAGCGCGACAATCTAGTCTAGTTGCACACACATTGTTTAGTTGGTAGGAAGACTAGTTCGTCGAAACTGTCACAGCCCTAGAATGTTGTTTGTAAATAGTTGCATCTTCATCCAGGCATCATATTTAAATTTCTGAAACTTGAACTGAGGAATTTTGGAAGCCTCAAAAACTTAAATAAAAGAGGGGCAAAGAACCCTGGTAAATGCATTCAATATTTTCAAAATGGCCTTAAATAATGTTGGTTATATTTTGGCAAGGGTTTTGCACCAAACCAAAAATAATGAACATTTTTGAGGAATATTTTGAGCACTGAATTTAAATCATTACTTTATTTGCATTTGGAACTATATTCATAACTTGTATAGAATATATTTCCAAATACCCTGAAACATTTTATGTGCTTTTGAAAAAGTCCATTAAGCAGCATAAATATTTTCAGAGGAGTTTTTGGCATTGTTTGAATTATTTTTAAATTCAAACAGTGGCAAAACATATTAAATAAAAGAAAACAGAACTGAAATAGAAATAAAAAATAGAGAGAGAAGGAAGTTACCTGGCCTCACCCGTGCAGCCCACCAGAGCCGGCCCAGCTCCTGTGCTGGTCCAGCACTGTGCG